ACCCACACAGCAGCTCACAACCATCTCTAACTCCAGTTTCAGGGGGACCTGACACCCTCTTCTGGACTAGACAGGCACTGCACTCATAGGGTGCACATACATACACCAACACAAAACACTCATACACATAAAATAAAAACGGTAAATGCACCCCAGTCTTGAGTACATCAAACGCCTCCAGTGCTGTTTGAGGGTCTGAGCTCCCCAACTTCAGTGTTTGCAGTGTGGACAACACCGGTGTCATCGATCTTGATTTGTATTTGTAGGTAACTGTAACGTTGACCGCTTTTCTCATATTCTGACTGGTCATTACTTTTCAAAGTGTCTATTTATTAATGGATACACAAGTAATCAGGAATAGCTTCTCTGTTGATGAATTTTGATTTAAAATTTTAATTGTTTACTTATTTGTGGTACTAGGAATTAAACCCTTATTCTGTTTTATGGTTTGTTTGCTTTGTTTCTTCCCATTGGAAGTGCTGTGAATGCTGTGGGGCAAGCACTCCCCTCAGTGCTACTTCAGACTACTCAGTGCCTGCAGATCCAGAGCCTGGAGCCTCCACCACTGAGACTCACATCCAGCCCAACTCTGATGCATATATCTTAGTTTCTATGTGTGCTCACATGCAATACCACAGCATGCCTGGTGGAGGTCAGGGGACTGGTTTTTGGAGTCCCCCTCCCTCTCTCCCTCCCTCTCTCTTCCTCTCTCTCTCTCCCTCTCTCTCCCTCCCTCTCCCTTCCTCTCTCTCTCTCTCTCTCTCTCTGTCTCCTCTCTCTTACACAGAAGTAACTATATCTCACCAGCCCCCCAATTCTGTTCTTGTTTGTTGGTTGGTTTGTTTGTTTTCCAAAATAGGGTTTCCCTATGTAGTTTTGGTGCCTGTCCTGGATCTCACTCTGTAGACCAGGCTGGCCTCGAACTCATAGAGGTCCACCTGTCTCTGCCTCCTGAATACTGGGATTAAAGGCATGCACCACCACCGCCTGGCTATTTTTTAATGCCCAGAACATGATGTTGGTTTTCCCCCAGTAGCATGTACTGTGTTGTGAAGATGTTCTTTGGAGGTGTGGGCATCATTGATAATGAACACAACAGTTCTGATAATGGTAGGCAGGCTTTTGGTTTTCAGCAGCCTTTGTCTGGAAGTCACTGTGTTGTCGTTTAGAAAGCTGCTTAGGCCAACTTCCCTCTTGCAGGGAATCAGAGACATCTGGGCACATTTCACAGCACAGTTGGCAGCAGCAGGGACAGTGGCCTTTGTTTGCTCTGGTTCTTCTTGAAGCCTAAATGTCTCACACTCTGCAGCTCCCCATCTGCAGAAGAATGCAAAGTAGAATGCAAACCGAGGGCCCTCGTCTGGTCTGTTTTGTGTCATATGGAAAATATGGAAATTGCCGCTACTGGTTGTGTGAACCATCTGTGGAAATAAGTTTGCAGTTGGGATGCGTCATCAAAGACGGGCCTTAGAGATGATGTTACCCTTGCTCACATCCTATCTGCAGCACATACTGGGCTGGTAGCGCTGAGGGAATCCTGAGCTTGTGTTTATGAAGCTATATGAACTTGAAAGGCCCTATGGAGACTTCTGGAAGCATTGGCCACTCTTTGTAAGCTGGGAGGATAGGTCTGTGTCTCCCTACACTGAGCACAGTTTCACAAAGCTAAGAGGTCTCCAGGGCCTGGTGGCTCACAACCATAACCCCAGCATTGAGAGCCTGAGGGAAGAGTGTCTTCAGTTTGGGGCCATGCTGGGCTACACAGTATTCCAGGCCAGCCTGAGCTATGAAGCAAGACCCTGCCCCTGCCAGAGATGGTTCCGTTGATTAAGTGCTTGCTTTGCAAGTGTGGGGACTGGAGTCCAAGCCCAGGAACTTCCGGTATAAAAGCGTGACATGGTCATGCACATCTGTAATTCAAGCAGAGATGGGGACAAGTCAGAAATGAAGGACACGAGCTGGGAGGAGACCAGTGGAGGGTGCTGGGTGCGGGGAGGTTGGAGGAAGGGACGGGGTAAAAGGATCCCACCAGTTTGTACACCAGCTAATGCAGCCAAACTGGTGAGGTCCAGGTTCAATGAGAGAACATGTCTCAAAAGCTCAGGTGGAGAGTGATTCAGAAAGACAGTGTTGTTCTCTGGTTTCTGCCTGTGCGCATGTGTCCTTACTCTAAGTGGGTTTATTTTCCTATTCTTGGTTATGATTCAAAGAGTATTGAGCTATCAACTAACATATTCCTGTGTAAAGAGTTGAATAGGTATTTTCCCCACTTTCCATCATTTGAGGGATAAAGCTTTAAGATTCACTGGAAAACAGTTTTTAGCTGTCAGGTATATAGGTTTTGGGCATTAGAAAGATGACTTTTGTTTTATATTGCTTTGGGTTTTTTTTTTTTTTTTTTGGATGATTTGGGTTTTCTGTTTTTTTCTTTTTCTTTTTGGCTTTTTGAGACAGGGTTTCTCTGTGTAGTTCTGGCTGTCCCAGAACTCTCCATATAGACCAGGCTAGCCTAGAACTCAAGAGCTCCATCTGCCTCTGCCTCCCGAGTGCTGGGATTAAAGTCGTGCTTTTTGAGTTGGGGTCTCCCTATGTAGCCCAGGCTGGCCTGGAACTTGTCATCCACCTGCCTCAGCCTCTCAAGTGCTCGGATTACAGGTGTGCACCTCCACAACAAATAAGGAGGACATTGTTTTTTTACTTATTTGTGTTTCTGTATGTGTGAGTGTTTTGACTACACGTATGTCTATGCCTGGTGCCCACAGAGGCAAAAGAGAACATCAGATCCCTGGAACTGAGTTACAGATGGTTGTGAGCAGCCACGTGGGCGCTGGGACCAAACCTGGGTCCTCTGTAAGAGCAGTGAGTGCTCTTAACCACTGAGCATCTCTCCAGCCCTAGAAAGGCATTTTTAATTTCAGAGGCAGTATGTTGAAGTGAGCACTCTCCTGAAGTCTGAACTTAGCTTCGTAGTTTAGAGTCATGGCCTCTATTCTGTGGGTTTCAATGTTCTCACAGTCCAGCTCTACCTAGAACCCCCAATTCCCGGCTCCATCAGAGGCGTAACAGGAAATCTCCACAGTGGTAGGAGTTTGGATGAAACGATGTCTATAGCAGTTTTGTTCTGTGTTGTATTTCCACACATGAGATGGAATCCGAGCATCACACACACTTGTCAATGGTAGGCAAGTGTTCTACCACTGAGCTACATCCCAGTCTCTGATTTTCTATTTTCCTTTAAAGTTTTTAAAAGTGTGTGTGTGTGTGTGTGTGTGTGTGTGTGTGTGTGTGTGTGTGTGTGTGAGAGAGAGAGAGAGAGAGAGAGAGAGAGAGAGAGAGAGAGAGAGAGAGATCTGTTTTCTTCAATCTCTTCTCCAACTCATTGTTTGAGACAAGTCTTTCATTGAACCAGGAGCTCCCAGTTTGGCCCACAAGCCCCAGTGATCCCCTGAACTGCCCCCAGCACTTGGATTACAGTGTGCACCACCACACCCACCTTTGTGTATGGATGCTGGGGATCTGAACTCAGGTTCTCATGCCTGAGAGGCAAGTATTTTCCTGATGGAGCCGCCTCTCCAGCCTTGAATAGGCTGTAGGGCTTATTTCCCTTTTTCTTTGATTTGTTAAACTTTTAAACTGTTCATTTCTTAAAATACTTATAAATTCTTAAATTAAAAAATTATCCTGTGTGTATGAGTATTTTGTTTACATGTATGTATGTGTGCCTTGTGCCTGAGGCCTCCAGAAGAGGGCACTGGGTCCGTTGGACCTGAAGTTGCAGTTGGAAGTGTTGGGTAGCTGCTAGGAACTGAACCCAGGTCTTCTAGAGGAGCAGTAGGTACACTTAACCACTGATTCAGGATTAATTCATTCCTATGTGTGTCTGAATGGGTGTATGCACATGTGTGGACACTTGGAGCCCAGGAGAGGGTACTGGACCCTCAGAGCTGGCATTAAAGGTGTTTGTGGGATGTCCGGCTTCCTACCCGCCTGCTGGCATCTGAGTTCCAGTCCTCATGTTTTCATAATAAGTGTTCTTAACCGCTAAAACATCTCTCAACTCCACTCTGATGCTACCCTAAAGTAGACTGCATCTTTTTCCATTATGAAGCTTGGGGAATCTCCTCGTTAGTTCATAAAGGAAGAGCCTAAGGGAAGAGCAAATTTGCCACAGGAGGGCAGAGGTAGAAGAAGAAAGAAAAGGTGATATTTGCATATAGCTCTTTCAGGGCACATAATATAAATATAAACAAGATATAGACACCTTGAAGCCAAAAAAGAAATCATATAAATTAGGTAAAGCACCTAAAAGTACCCCTGCAGTACACTGAGCTTGAAAGATCTCCATGCCCAAAGAAGCCTGGACACGTGTGGTGTGCATATGTCTATAGCCAGTCCTCTGGTGGCCAGAGGATCAAAAATTCAAGGCTAGTTTAACCATCCCCAAAACAGGGGCGTTTTCAGTATTAGTTATGGTTGGCAGATGCCATCCTGTTGAATTAAGGCCACAATTTTCTGACTATATATGTTTTAACTTTTTAGAAACTTACATTTATATGTGTGTGTATACCTGTGGCTGTACATAGTGAGAACAACTTGTGGGAGTCAGTTCTCTCCTTCCACCGTCTGGGTTCCAGGGTTCCAAGTCATCAGCCTTGACCGCAAGTGCCTTTACCATAGATCCGTCTCAGCCACTCCCTAAAGATTTAATAGATGCTATTGTGGCCTCTGGGAGTCCCCACAGACTCCTTCGTTCTCTACGCAAGGGTTTCAGTGTCAAGCCATCCAGCTCCCATTCAAGTTTTGGATTTTACTTCTAGATTAAATAATGAGGAAAATACAATGGGAGGTTTGTAGTTACCAGTGTGTTCCCTTAAAGAATAGTAATGGAAACTGGTCACTTTCAGCCACCTGAGGCTGTGGGCATGCTCCAAGGCCTGGGGTGTCTTGTGCTTCTGATTGTATTCTGTCTTTCAATATACTCCACCATTGTCTCTCAACAGGGCTTTTTAGATGAGGAGTCTCCTCACTGTGATCCCCCGTCCTGCACAGAGAGGCATAGACTTCTTCAGGGGAAATTGGTAAGCATGAGATTTGTGTTTTGTTTTTAATTACTTAGGTAACGGCTGTGATTCAGCTATTATATAAAAATAAAAATGTAAAAAAAAATAATAAAATAAAAAAAATAAAAATGTAGTTCAAACCAGGCATGGTGATTGCACCTCTTATCTCAGCATTCAGGAGGCAGAACCAGGCTAATCTCTGTGAGTTCGAGGACAGCCCAATTTATATAGTGTGCTCTAGGCCAGCCAGGGCTAAATAGTGAGAGTCTGTATCAAAACAAAAGTACCCTAAACTATGCAGAAAAGAAAGGAAGAAATACAGGGGCTGGAGAGGTGGCTCAGGGCTTAGGAGCACTGGCTATTTTTCCAGAGGACCTGGGTTTGAGTCCCGGTACCCACATGGCAGTTCACAACCATCTATAACTCCATTTCCAAGGGATCCAATACCTTCTTCTAACCTCCTTGGGTATTGTACTCCCATGGTACATAGATATAAATGCAGGCAAAATACCCACATACAAAAAAAACAATAATTAAAAAAAATCACTCAGTATGTATGAAAAAGTTGAGAAATCTAAATATGCTACTTATCTACAAAATATTACCAGACAAGCAATGGATTCTTTCTTTTTTTCCTTCTTAATTATACCATCTAATATAAGAGGTAGTGATACGGCCTTTTGCTTACAGAACCATGAGGCATTATGTAGCTGGGCTTGCCCCTCACTCCCACCCCCTTCCCTAAAGCCTTGTTTCTAAGTGGGATTGTGTGGGCTTGGTGACGTGTGAGCATTCTGTTAGCTGCTACCACTGGATCTGTTTGTGAGTGCGTGGGATTGAACCTCGGGGGCCTCATGCACATTGGCAAAGGCTGTACCTTTGAGCCATATCTCCAGTCTTCTTACTTTCTATTTTGAGACAGAGTCACACTGAGTTGCCCAGACTGGCCCTGCACCCACTTTGTGGCCCAGGCGAATCTTGAACTTGAGATGTTCCTGCCTCTGCCTCCCAAGTATTACGACTCAGCCTGCACTGGGCCAGGCTTGAATAAGCATCAGATTTGCTTCTGTGCTGAGGCTCTGGATAGAAGTCTGAAAGCTCTGCTCTGTAACATCCTCACTTGGGACCAGTCACATCCTGTCTACTTTTTTCTTTGAAATTTTGTTTTTATTTTTATTTTATGTGTGTGGTGCTTTGCCTGCATGTATGTCTGTACACTACATGTGTGCAGTACCCACAGAAGCCAGAAGAGGGCGTTGGATCCCTGGGCACCTGAGTTATAGATGGTTGTGGATCACCATGTTGGTGCTGGGGACCAAAAACTGGGTCCTCTGCAGGAGTAGCTGGTGCTCTGCTCAACTTCCTCTGCCACTTGTCTATTGTTTTCTTTTCTTTTTTTTTTTTTTAAGTATTTTTATTAATTGAGAATTTCATGTGATATATTTTGGCCATATTCATAGCCCTCCAAACTCCTCTCAGATCCACCCCCACTCTAACTTCACTAACTTCATCTTTGTCCTACCCTGGCCCCGCCCCTCCCCTGCCCTACCCCTGTCCCGCCACGCCCCACCCCGCCCCCACCCCTGCCCCAGTCCCGTCCTGGCCCCGCCCCTACCATCATGAGTCTTGTCTTAAACTGAGGGAATAATCTTGAGAACTGCGGGGTGGCGCTTTCCTTTAGACAGCTAATAATGCTGGTTTTCTGTTCAGAAGCAGTCCTGCCACCAACCACAGCGGGGGCAAAAAGGAAGCGCCCATCAGGTACCCCTGACCCGGAAAGACTCCTGCCAGTGTGCGCCTCTGCTAAGTGAGTGTGGACACGCCCCTCCCCACTCCTGCCCACTCGTAGGTGGGGAGGGGTTTCTTGAGAGAGACAATAATTAATAACAATATCTGTCTAGGGAGATATATTGGATATTTGTCTATGGATCAATTAATACACACCTGAACATCCACTCTATACCGGGCACCATTACATATAATTAAGAACAAATCCTAAAATAACAAGACCTGAGTCCAGAAAACATTCCACAGAAGATGGGAGAAAGTGTGTGTGGGGGGGGCGGGGGGGCATGCTGAAATAATTCGGATGGTTGGAGTGTGGACAGAAAACCAGGACTCTGAAGAGAAGGCAGAACACGCAAGCTTCGTCTTCATTTGTGGAGCCAAAGCTTAGGGTGCATTTAGAGGAGTCAGCAGGAAATGAAGGGAAACCGGTGAGGTGGGGACCTGGGGCTGATCTGAACAGCCAGGCCAAAGGTAAAAGGACAGCATCCTGAGAACAGCTGGGCGCCAGGCAGCACCCCGCTGCCTGTGTGTGATGGCGGACAGAGGCTAGTGTGCTCTGGAAGGACGGGGGTTGCTGTGGTTGTCAAGGCAAACTTAAGAAGAAGCATAAAGCAAGTGGTTTGTGAATCATGAAACCAGAGGAGGAGCAGCCCCTACCGATGTGATGTCGGGCTAGACCGGGGCTTTAAACCAGTTTGTTTTATTAACTGAAACCTTCAGCAACACACTACCCTGTGGTAGAACCATGGCTGCATCCCGTGTTCTACTGTGCCTGATGACTTCATTAGTCCTCACCACGGCCCCACAGGGTGACGCTAGTGTATTTCCCATCTTACTGTATTGACTTTTGTGGACTGGAGACAGAACATGCTGAATGATGTGCCACCACCAAACTGTTTGCCTGGCTCCTGCCCATTTTATTTTTCATTAAAAATTTATTTTATTTTATTTTATTTTATTTTATTTTATTTTATTTTATTTTATTTGTATGATTGTAAATGCACTACATGTGTGCCTGGTGCCCATGGAGACCAGAAGAAGGCATCAGATCCCTCCAGAACTGGACTTACAGATCGTGAGCCAGGGCTGCTGGGAGCCCAACCTAGGGGCTGCAAGAGCACCATGTCTCCTGCCTACAGTTCTCCTTTTAAAGATGAAGAAACAGGGAACATCAGACATAGTCTGCCTGAGATCGTGTGTCCCTTTACATATAAGTGTATTAGGGCTCTGAGTGAAGACGTTAATTTATCTACAAACACACCACCTGCATGAGGCAAAGCTAGGATTTGAACCAAAATCTCCAAAATTTGAACCAAAATTTGAACATGGTCTCCATGGCGACTCTTCAGCACCACTGCTGACACAGACAAGCGGCCACAGATGGCCCAAGAATGAGAGGCCACAGCTGTGCTCTAGTAAAACCTCGCTATGAAAGCAGGCCACTGACTGAGATGCCTGCTGGCTGCGGATTGTGGACCTGGTAGTGGCTCGGTGGGCAAAGGTTTTCTGTCCTCTTCCCCATGCCCCAGTTCATTTTGTTGTTGTTTGTCGGTTTTTAAATAAACATTGGATATTTCTACCTCCACATAACTAGGATAAAATGTTAACAGAATCAGATTGATTTCACTTTTTCAGACACGATGCACTCAATCGCTTAGGTGAGAAAGAGTTTCATCTTTAACACAATTTGAATGGGAAGTTCACCTCTACCCTCATTCCTTCCTGCAACAGATGCCTTGTGTCTTGAGGGCCTTACAGCAATTCCAAGGCTAGAACTGGCATCTGTCTCATGTGTCAAAAAGCCAGCCCATGCTCCGAGTGAAAGACCCCCGCAGCAGGAGGCAGATGGAGCGTTGGATGTGACAAGACCACCCCAGTAAGTTAACCACAGCTGTCCTGTCCCACCTTCTATATTTTATCTGATATTATTATCTCTTGGCTGTTTTTTGATGGAGTTCCTCCAGCTCTCTGAGGAGTCACAGTTTAGAAGCCAGAGACTGCTTTTGACTTTCAGGAGACAGCTTTGCAGAGCACACTACGTTTTTACTGCTAAGTTAACTGAGATGAGTCACGGACATTGTTCGTGTCCGCTGCCCTGCACCCCAGTTGCAAGCCTCAGTTGTCCTCACCTGCGCTTTAAAGTCAAAAGACCGATCTCTAGAACACACCTGAGTATCAGCAGGGTTGGCAGGATTAGCTCCCCAGTGAGAGTCCTTTCTGCTCCTAGGTGGAGGAAACAAGGCTTTGAATTGCAAATGTCACATTTTAATTTTTGGTTAGCTTTTCTGTGCTTAGTAACTTCTCTCTGAAGGAGGTAGAGGCTTCCTGCTTGACTAGAAATTGCCTGGCCTGGGGGAGGGGTGCTGGGAACTATGTCATAGTTCGGATCCTGCTAATTTGCAGCTTTTCACCTGCAGAAGGCCACTCTTTTCTCACCACCAGGTGTCCACTCCCCACAGGAGGCTCCATCTTGGGACCAGAACTTCTAGATCACACCAGGATGAACGAGGACCTTAGCGTGGAAGTGAGTATGAATGAAGATCTGTTTTGTTTTCAGCACTACCGTGTGCTGGTCCTCTTTGGAGGCTGTTTCTCCTTCCTGTCCTTCTTTATAAGAAATATTATGGGACATCCTAGAACTCATGTACATAAGAAATATCCAACTTTGAAGCCAGGAAGTTAAAATTCAACCATTTGGGTTATGGGCTGGAGATAGTTCACTGGTTAAGAGCACAGGATGCTCTCACAGGTGACCTGGGTTCAATTCCCAGCACTCATATGATGGCTTACAACCATCCCTAACTCCAGTTCCAGGAAATGTGGCACACTCTTCTGGCCTCTGTGGTGCACATACACACAGGCAGGCAAAACACCCACACACATAAACAAATCTAAAATAGAAATAAGAACAAGCTTTGGGTTGAATGACTAAGGGAGAGTTGGGTGGAGTGTGTTGAAGTTTGTGTTATAGCTTGTTTTTGTTACTTAAGTTTGCTAATGCGTTAATAAATCTCGGATGGCAATGACTTTCCAGGAACTGAGATCAGGACTAGGTAGTCTGAGGCATTGGCTCCTTATCAAAGAGTACACATGGCCAAAGGCAGGTGCTGATGGCACTCCTCTAAAGATGACAGTGGCGTGAACCACTTCAGGAAGGTCTTATGTAATCACCCCAGGCCACTGGATGTACTTAGTGTGCCTTCCTTGTGTTCAGCATTTGCCCATCCATCATTCTTCACTCTCACACCAAGCAACTGGTTGCCTTTTTAGATGCAGTCACAGAATTGAGAAATGACATACCATTAGAACACTTGGCCACTCCCTCACCCGCCCCATGCCCACATTTAGTCCTCTGTCCCCACATTCTGTCCCTAGGCAACCAGCAACCTTCTTTCTCTAGAGACATTTCTCTCGCTCGCTCATGGAAGTCTCTTGTACAGGGAATCAGACACTGTTTGGCCTCTTGGGCCTGACCGCTTCTGATGAGCATCAGATTGGCAGGTTTAGTCCACACCAGGTCCTCACCCCCGCTGTGTGGTGTCTCCTTTCTTCCTCACTGGCTCACCGACATTTGAGTAGTTCCTTGGCCTGTTGGGAACAATGCGTCTGTGAATACTGGTGCATAAGTTTTTGTACAAACTGTTTGAAGTGCTTTTGTGTGTAGATAGACCCACAAGTACAATTGCTGCATCTCGTGTGGTACCCTCATGTTTAATGTCTTGGTGACCTACAGAACAGATTCCATGGCCTGTACTGTTTTACTTAGCCACCATCAGCATCTGAGGATTCTAATTTCTCTACGTTATCACCAACACCGTGTGACTGTAGCCAGCTCAGAGAATGCAAAGTGTGAGCCTGAAGGTTTGGATTTGCATTTCTCTAATGAATAATCTTTGCATGTGCCTGTGGGACATTCTATTTTCAATGTAAATATGTCTCCTGAGGTCAGAGGCCCACTTTTAAAACTAGTTCTTCTTTCTCTACTCACTTTTAAGAGTTGTTTTAATTCTTCCTGTTAAGTGCATGCATCTACTTTTATAAATTTTATATAATTTCTGATACATAATTATCTATTTTTTATATTTAATAATTTATACATGACTTCTGTTTATTGGCACCCATCTTACTGAGAAGCTAAGGACAAGAGAGAAAAGGGACACTATTCCCCTTTGCTATTACTTAGCGTTCTTCTGAAGTTTTAATACAGGAAGTTGACCTTAGCCACTTACAGGATGTTTGGTTGTTAGTAATTTCCCTTTTACCGGGCGCTAATTTCACAACGAAGAGGGAAGAAGCAGTGTGAGCTGGTCATCAGGCACAGTGCAGGAAAGCATTTCCACGTGCCGAGGTAACCCTCTCCACCTGCCAGAGTGGCCAAGGAGACGCCTGGAGTTGAGGGAGTTAAACCACTTGAAGATGACTCAACTCAGCTTCCTAGCTTCAAAGGACCTGGGCTTTCAGCGTCCCCTCTTAGCACACTGAGTTCAGGCGCTTCCTTCGTGCCAGTCACTCATGGCTGGACGGAAGGTGGCCTGAGAGCTAAGAGATCTGCCTTGTGCACTTGACAGGATCTGGCCATCCATTCCATGGATGAGTTGTTCACCTGTGATCTTGACACCACTTAGAAATAGGAGTCCCCAGAACCACAGTAGAAATGTCTTCCAGCATGCTGCTGGAAGAATGTCTGGGTCCCCTGCAGAGGCTCACACTACCTTCTTAGAACCCCAGGAAGCTGTCTTAGTCCGTCAGCGGTACAGTGGCCTCAACTACCGGTTCTCCACACTGTCACCCAGGTTTCTATTCTCCACACATGCTCTACAGCCTAAGATTGCCATCTCCTCCACCTCTCCCCACCTTGTCCTCTGAACAGTCCCCCAAAGCCCCCCTTCACCCGCCACCCCACCTCTGAGCATTTCATGGTAAGCTCTGATTCTTAGTGTTCTCACGAATAATGAGTACAGGGATTAAAATAAGCACAAAATAAACAGGAGCAGAGCCCATAATCCATGTTCGTCCAAGTACACAATGACAATGGCCTTTCCCTGACCCCTGGCTGTAAGCCATGGATTTCTGTCCATCTCTACAACCTTATGATGAACTTCTTGCCTCACACCCGGGTTCTTCTGTCACTTGTCACACCTGCGTTTCTACCTTTATTCTCCCAGCATTGCATTGTGGTTACCTGTACCTCAGCCAACCACGAGGGTGTACTGTCATGGTAAATCACGCAGCCCCGTCTGGGGCATTCCCCTAGAACACTGGTGTTTCTCCATTTGTCAAAATTCTGTTCGGTTGCCAAGGCTGGTTTCAAAAACCAATTGCTTCACAAGCCTTCTGTGGTGACACAAAATGTTGGTGCTCCCAAATCTCCGCTTCTCAAGGGAGAGATTGCTCACAATTAGGGGTTCAAGGGCAGGTTTCCCTGGGCTACCTAGAGTGTGCTCCAGAAAAGCCAACCCATGGGCAAGGGCCCTTCCTTTTTCTGAATTCTTGTACCCCCTTTTTGAGGCCTCAGTAACTCATTTTAAAATTGAAATTAATTAGATTTTTAAACATTTTTTTCAAGTGGGGAGGTGCATGTACCACAGTACATGAGTGGGGGTCAGAGGGCAATTTGCAAGAGTTGATTCTCTCCTACCACGTGGGTCCAGAGACCAAACTCGGGTCGTAGGCTAGGCAGCGGGCTTCTTACCTGCTGCACCACCTGCTAATCCTGACTGGATAATTTTTAGAAGACTCCTATGGTTCACATTGCCTAGAACTCACTGTCGGCTTAGACTATCCAAAGACTTTGATCCTCCTGCCTCAGCCTTGGGAGTGCTGAGATTCTAAGTGTGCACCACCTCACCAGACTCAAGGCCCCAGGAACTGTGGTCTCTCTTTCCTGTCAGCTATATTCTGGCCACGCTGTGGTCATTCACTGTATTTATTTATTTATCTGTTTTGAGGGTGGTGGTGGTGACTGCGCACTCATGTCACGGCAGCATGTGGAAGTGAGTCATTTCTCTCCATCCACTGTGGGTCCCAGGGACTGCTGTCAGGTCGTCAGGCTTGGCAGCAGGCACCTTTACCTGCTGAGCAATCTTGCTGGCCTCAGTTTCCTATTTTTGTCCTGTATCAGGCAATAAACTTGGTGGAAAGCGTTAGATGGGGACACAGAAGCAGTTTGTCCCTTAAAAAGAACATGAGGTCTCCATCATAGACACCAACAGGATTTTGGTATGTTGATCCTCTTCCCAGGAGCTCCCCAGGTCCAGGCTTTCTGAGGAAAGTGTAATCAACCCTGTCTAGAGTTCTCAGCTCACCTGAGGCTTGGGGGTTGTTAGCCCTGTAGAGAGGATCCTTCTTTGGTCACTAATCAGTGTGTAGCCGACAACCCGAGTAGATGAAGTCTTGGTCTTGTCCTCCCGAGTGTCCACTCTGACATTACTTCAGGCTGGAACACCAATGGGGGGGGGGGGGGGGTCAGCCAGGTCGCTGTGCTGAGACTCACATTCCTAAAGTCTCAGGATTCATTTCCTAGTTCTCTTCACATCCTCAGTGGAAGCTCTGTTCTTTCATTTCAAATTCTATCATAATACAGGATGAAATTGAGCACTGGTGTTCGTGAGAAGGTCTTTGAGTAGGTGAAGGAGTCAGGCAAGGAGGGAGTCCCAAGGGGTGTCCTGTAGGGCTTGGGCACCCTCTGTGGAACGTTCTTAGGAGAACAGAACTTGCTTAGGGACCCATGAGAGAAGCAGAGAGAGATTATACTAAAGCACTTTGAAGGAAATGTGTTTCCCGGGATTCCACAGCAACATGGGGGTGGCTTAGTGTGTGAGAAAACAGATGAGAGGAGGCTGGATGACATGTATGGCTGTTGAAATCACATGATGAGTACAGGAAAGCTCATCCTCCTGTCTACTCATTGATTAATTTTTAGCCGCATGGAATGAGGTTTGGAATTGAGCAGGCTGGCCATGCATTAGCTGTGGGAACTGGTACATGTGTCTGTATCTGTCTGAATTTGTGTCCCCTGTGAAAGGGGGTGTTACTCTGCAAGGTCTTGTGAGTATCTACATGCATACATACAAACACACTCCTCTATGTGTATTACATATGTACCTGCACGTATGTGTCTACACAGCTAAGTGCCTGCCTACTGGCTCATGGAAACAAAGTAGACAGAGGGAAAACAGTGGTACCCTGTGACCACTGCTGATGAGCAGGGAAGCATCTCTATCCCTGGGTCCTCTGACTGGCATCTCCAGGGGAGTCACCAGAACTCAGACCTTTCAGGTCTGTTGGCTTCAGGTGGACGTAAAGCTTTTTGTTGAGTAAGGTGGTTTCTTTCCCATACATCTTTGAACTCATTGCCTGTTGGCCACACTGCCCAAGCCTGTCCGCGCCTCAGCCTGTGCCAGCCCCTTTCCTCTGTCAGCAACAGACCGTTGTGCACTCGGGTGTTCTCAGAGGGTGCCCTGCTGGCACAGCGTGAGTGGCATTTCCAGATGCGCAGGCTCCACTGCTTCCTCCACAGGCTGTGTCCACCTCCTTAGGGTCCTCCTGGTCACAGTGGCTTCTCTCTGAGCAACAGCTCCTCCTCTGCCTGCCTGCCTGCCTCTCCTCAGCCATGGCCTTCTCCCCGGGGCTGAAGAGTAGGCAGCTGCTCTCTGAGAACCTTGCAAACCTGGGTACACGCTGGGTGCTTGTTCCTCCCCTGAATGTCCAGGAATTAGGGAGTTCCATGATGGAACACTTGGGAGGCTGAAACAGGAAGGGTGGACTGAATGCGAGGCCAGCCTGGGCTACATAGTAAGACCCTGCCTCAAAACAAAACAAAACAACTGAGGCTCCCTTCTTCCTCTGGTCTCTGATATGAGCCTACAAAATACCTGGTAACATATATGGATTTGCTGGTTCATCTTAAAGATTTTTGAAAATTCTATGTGTATGGGTGTTTTGCTGCTTGTATATATGTATACCACATGTATGTAGTGCCCAAAGACAGCAATGAATCCCTTGGGACTGGAATCACATACAGCTGTGAGCCACTATGTGGGTCCTGGGAATCGAACACAGGTCTTTTGCAAGAGCATCTTGTGCTCTTAATCACAGAGCTGTCTCTCCAGCCCCTCAAGATTTACACCAGGTGTGTGTGTGTGTGTGTGTATATGTGTGTGTGTGTGTGTCCGTCCGTGTGTGTGTGTCCATGTCCCACCGTATATGTGGGTACTAGCAGAGGCCAGAAGAGGGACCTCCTCTGGATCTAGAGTTTTAAGCAACTGTGTGGTTCTCAGCATAGGTGCTGGGAACTAAACTCCAGTACTATGCAAGAGCAGCAAGTGCTCTGAACTGCTGAGCCATCTCTCCAATGCCATCCTGGCTTCACGGTAAATGCTGACCCATAGTATCTGTGGCTTTGACGCAGAGTCAGAATGATCAAAGGCATTAAGCTCAAAGACTACCTCCCCCGCTTAAAGAGCAAAGAACTTGGAGATGAAAATCTGTATTTATAGTTTAGAAGACCTTAACTGTTTTCCTCCCTTCGGTTCTCCTTTATGTCGTGACTTGTTTCTGTATGAGACAGACTGTCACCGGGAGAGCAGAGTTACTGAGGCAGAGGACGGGATCAATATAATACTATCTAGGGGATTTTCTGGCCATTGTCTGTCCTGCTTTCTCAGGCTGTGTGTAGGCGCAGTATTAATAACCTTGGAGAATAAATCACATTGTCAGCTACAGGATCGGGCCGTGCTGATATTGAAGGATAACGCCTTCAAAGTGAATCCTTCAGCGCTGGGTGTGCCCGTAGGTCTGAGGGTGTGGTGAACTTCTGGTTAGAAAGCAAAGTGGGGGAAAATAAGGAAATTTAAGTCTGTTTCTGTTCCAATTCAGTCGAGCTCTCTTCGGAGAATTTAAATGAACACAGAGTCCAGTCTTGGGTCTGTATGAACTCTGGCTACCTGTTTTTTTTTTTTTTTTTTTTTTT